TTCCGTCTCCTTGGGTAAGGGTGCCCACTAAGGGCCTTTAAGAACGGAGCTAATCCTCAAACAACGTTTCATAAAAAGGCCGTGCGTGACCGGCCTCAAGCAGTTGTCCCTTGGACTCTGCGGTCACGCACCAACACTAATCCATCTTCCTTTTCAGGTTCGTCAAGAAACAACCTTCCACGGTGTGGGCAGCCGGGAAGTGATAACCGCCCTCATACCCGTAACAGCACACGAGACAAAATTGTTCAAAATCAAATCCTTCCTAAATTCCCTAATACCTCTCTTATCTCCACAACTAACTCTTCTCACATTCATTTATTACAGTGCACAGCTAATGCAAACGATGCGAGTTTGCGAAACGTCGTTCCTGGTCTCCTTAAACCCCGTTCCAAACTACATGTTGGAGCATTCAATGTACGGACATTGTGTCAAATAGAGCAACAGGCATCATTAGCTAGGACTTTAGAATCTCGTGCCATCGATGTATGCTGCGTCTCAGAAACGCGCATACAGGATCCGAATAACGTCATACACTTGGCCACACCATGTCAAAATAAAGAAGCAGCTCGATTTACTCTTCGTGTATCCGGTAGCCCTGATGCTGCTTCTAGGGGCCTCGCCGGTGTAGGTATAGCATTGAGTCGTAGGGCAGAACAATCTTTCCTTGACTGGATCCCAACAGATAGTCGATTGTGCGCTGTCCGACTAAACGGGACAGTAAGGACTCGGAAAGATAGTGAAAATCGCCGTTGCCTCTTCATCGTATCTGCCTATGTCCCCACTGAATGCAGTTCAGACGAGGTTAAGGATGAGTTTTACAGAAAGCTTTCGGACCTCCTCCAAAAAGCTAGGCGCTCTGATATAGTAATAATGGCTGGTGACTTTAATGCTCAAGTAGGTAGACTAAGTGAGCAGGAGAGACACCTAGGTGGATGGTATGGTGTCGCGGCTCAGAGGACAGACAATGGTGACCGTCTGTTGCAAGCATGCTCAGACAACCGCCTATTCTTAGCAAACATTAACTTTAGGCATAAGGAAAAGCATCTGTTGACCTGGCGACCTCCAAAGTCGTCTCAACGTTGGACTCAACTAGATCACATCGCCATCAGCCACCGATGGAGGGGTTCGATAGAAGACTGTCGCTCGTTCTGGAGCACATGTCTAGATTCAGATCATGCCCTAGTGCGAGCGCGTATTTGTTTGAAGCTTACTGGGCGTAGGAAAGACACCGTAAGAAAGCCTCTTAGGGTTTTACTTAGTGATAATAAGGCGAAAAATATATTTCAGGAACAACTAGAAAGACAGTTAGGCGACCATTTAAGCGATTCACATCCGGAAGCAGGATGGAATGATATCAAAAAGGCTGTGGAAACAGCAGTGATATCTGCTGGTAAGGTTGACCATAAGGCTAGAATGAAGCCGTGGATCTCAGTAGCATCCACCGATCTGATGGATGCCCGAAAACTCATCCCACCTGGCTCTGAACATGATGAAGAGCGAAGTCAACTTAGGCGCAGACTTATAAAAAGCCTACGTAACGATCGCGAACAGTGGTGGGTGGCGAAAGCAAAAGCGATGGAAAAGGCAGCGGCGATAGGCAACAGTAGACAACTTTTCCGACTTATCAAGGAAACTGGTATTAGGAATCATAGTGTAAGTGAGACTATCTCAGAAAATGACGGGACTATTATTTATTCTCAATCCAGGAGACTGGATCGATGGGCAGAACACTTTAGGGATCAGTTCAACTGGCCTCGAGCCACTCTTCAGTTACCCACGATCTCCAGTCATCCTGAATGGCAAATCGACCTAAGTTCCCCTAGTCTTGATGAAGTTGAAAAAGCGTTAGGAAATCTGAAACGAGGACGAGCTGCAGGTCCTGATAGACTGACCCCTGAGATATTTAAAGATGGTGGTCCAGTTTTAGCAGCTAGATTGACTGAGATCTTAGGTAGAATCTGGGAACTGGACGTATTCCCATCCGACTGGTCTCAATCACTGATTGTCCCAATCTATAAGAAAGGACAGAAGTCTTCTTGTGACAATCACAGAGGAATAAGTCTAACTAATATAGTATCTAAAATATTGGCCTCAGTAATACTTCGGCGCTTAACGAAAACTCGTGAAGAGCAAACTCGAGAAAACCAGGCTGGTTTTCGACCTGGACGTGGTTGTATAGACCACGTCTTCACACTCAGACAGGTCCTGGAACATAGACACCGACTGCCTCGACGAACTTTGTTTTGTAGTGTAGGAGTAGGTTGGAAGAAAGCTAGGGGCGGCCAAACCAAAACGTGGCAGAAATCCATGAAGTCATTGACTAGTGGACTGAGCCATGTCGGTAATTGTCGACTACCTGGTTGGGGTCCGCGAGATGATAATAATCGATGGTTAGAGGCCTTGAATGACATGGCTCAAAATCGTTCGCAATGGCGCCGGTGCATTTATTCTTTGTGTTCTCTCAAACCCTAATCTTCTGGATTCTTCAACACCTCTAGTTTCGACTCCCTAAACTTTTCTCACTGAATCATACTTCTTGAATAGTATCTTCTAACCCTAACCTCTGCGATTACTTCTAATGCCTTTACTACCTCTACTACTATTGGATTTGAATTGACAATTATATCTCTGTGCTGATGTGGTATGGCAACATGAACTGATGTACTTACGTACCAAGTTCTACGTTGCATCTGACTGACTGACTGACTGCCGATCCCAAGTCAGGATAAAGAAGGAGGATTGAGATGTGGGGTTGGAGAACCCGTGCCGGAAAAGTCTAACTTGCCAAAAAAACGCTAACAAGAAAAATCAACTCAAATCATTTTAACTCTGTCCTGGCAGTTGGAAGGTCTTCTTTCAGAAGAGTTATGACGTCTCATGATGAAAGCCAATTTCCCGCGGAAGTCAGGGGGCCGATGCCCCTTCTGACAACCAGAACCCTTCCACGGTATGGGCAGACGAGATGTAACATCCGCTCTCATACTCAAAAAAGCACACGAGACCAAATGGGTCACAATCAAATCCTTTCTGCACCTCTTAATAACTCTCTTATGCCCTCGACCAACCCTTTTTTCGTACGTTTGTCAACATGGAAGGAATCGATGAAATCACTGACAAGTGGACTGAGAGATATGGTTCAACTAGAAAAGTAACCATTAACTATTCCCAGTCAAGCTCAGCTCACTATTATGGAAAAGTATGATAGAAACCTACAGAAGAATCATCACTGATTCCTATTCTGAGCCGTATCTAATAAACTCTCAATCCACTAAATTGTACAGTCTCTAACCCACATAACTACTCAAACTCAAACATTTAAATTATCTTTCACTGTTCACAACAAAGAGTGAGTAAAAGTACGGTCTCCTTTCGGTCGAAAGATAACAATCTGTCTCCATACACACCTTGCTCGTCAATGATACTGCAAATAGTTCGGACACCATTGGCCTATCTCATATTGATTCGATAACCATAAAAAGTAACGGCAAATGAATGAAACTAAGCATAAGAACTTAGTCTGTCGATCACGAATGAAGTATGTGAAGATTTGACTGAGACGAGAAAATGTCGACCAACGGATTATTCATGTCTTAATTATTGCTAAGTCTGAATGTCGCACTTGTGTTCATTTTCTTGTATTAGAACCTTCAATGCCTTTTAACAGGAATGTCACAGCCGAACCTGAAGTTAGTAAGCGTTTATTTCCGTAAAAGAAAGTTCTTAAGATAAAAAGTATTTCCCTGGACATTGTTATCAGCAGTAATAACAATCTCATAACTCACGGATAGCATTCGAACCAAAAGTTCAGGGAGAAATACAGCAGACACATAAACATACTGTGAAATTTTATTACATAAATACCACCCGGAAGTGAATCAACCTCTAGACTAGACAAATCCATAGAGAACGTGATACTGAAATCACTTGACATATGTAATATTATGACTACTAGTCAAAAGATAATACCAACAGCCAGTCAGCTACATCGTAGAACTTGGTACGTACGGACATCAGTCCAAGTCGCCATACCACATTAACACAGAGAGATGGGATTGTCAATTCAAATCTCATAGTCTTGATGGTAGCAGAAGTATTAGTGGTAATCGGAGGACTTACACCAACTTGCCACTCAGGTCCAATGGAGATATCGTGGGTAACCGAAGTGTGGTTGAAGGCCATTTGGACTGTCCCGTAGAATATTCTGTCCATCAATCCAATCTCATGACTTGTGAATGAATAGCAGTCCTATCTTTTTCCAAGATAGTCTCACTGGCAGTCAGATTTCGAATACCGGTCTACTTGACAAGTCTGAACAGTCGTCTATTGTTACCTAGTGCGGCTGCCTTTTCCATCGCTTTTGCTTTCACTACTCACCATTATTCGTGATCATTGTGTAGGCTTTTTATCAGCCTGTGTTTACGCTGATTTTGCTCTTCCTCATGTTCAGAGCCAAGCGGGATGAGTTTCCGAGCATCTATCATTTCGGCAGATACTACTGAAGTTCATTGATTTTCGTTAACTTACTGACAGAGATCATTGCAGTTTCCACAGCTTTTTGGATATCGTTCCAAGTTGTCTTGGGGTGGGAATCACATACATGGCCACCTAACTGTTTTTCTAGTTGTTCCTGAAACAAATTCTAAGCTTTATTATCGTTAAGTAGAGCCCTAAGAGGTATCCTTGCAATATTTTTTCTACGTCCAGTAAGACGTAAACAAATGCGCGCTCGTACCAGAGGATGATCTGAATCTAAACAAGTGCTCCATAATGAGCGGTAGTCTTCAATAGAGCCTCACCACCGATGGCTTATAGCCATGTGATCTAGTTGGGTCCATCGTTGGGTCTTAAAGTTAGTTTTTGCTAGAAATAGGCGGTTACCTGAGCATAGCTGCAGCAAACGGTCACCAATATCTGTTCTTCGAGCCACGAGACCAGAAGATACACCCAGGTGTCTTTCCTTTTTACTTAATCTACCTACTTGACCATTAAAGCCACCTGCCACTATTACTACAAAGGGAGTGTCTAACTTTGTGAAGGAAATCCAAAAGCTTACTGTAAAATTCATCTTATACCTCGTCAGTGCGAGCGTAGGTAGAGACAACAAAGAGGCAATGATGAGTATCCCTATTTCTATGAGTTCTTACTATCCCGTTTAGTCGGACAGTGCATAAGCGACTGTCTATCAGGATCCAATTTGAGAGAGCTGATTCTACCCTAGGACTCAAAGCAATGACTAAACTGAGGCCATGGGAAGCAGAATCAGGGCTTCTAGATACACAGAGTAAACCGAGTTGCTTCCTTATCTGAAAAAGGTGAAGTCAAATTAGTCACTGTACTCGGACCTTGTAGGCGCGTTTTGGAGACGCAGAATACATCAATGGCTCGAGATTTTAGGGTCCCAGCTGAGGAAGCCTGTTGCCATATTTGACACAAGGTATGGACATTAAAAGCTCCGACATTTAATTTCGAGAGAGGTTTCAAGGGACCAGGAATAACGTTTCGCGAACTCGAAACGTCTGCATTAGCGGCGCGAAGTGGCAAAAGAATGAAAGAAGGGTTGGTTGTGGAGATAAGAGGGTTACTAAGAGGTGTGGGAAGGATTTGATTGTGACTACTTCAGTCAACGGGTATAAGGGAGGAGGTCACTTCCCGGCTGTCCACAACGTGGATAACTTCACAAGCATCCATTTGCTATATCCGAAGTAAGATTGGAAAAATAATCACTTTTAGGGCCAGCTTACATATGAGTATTATATGGATTCTCATTGTATAATTATATAATAACCAAATTATCACATACTTTTATTACTTTTGTAACACGCTCTTGATTAACCAATTAACTTATTTTGTATTATTTATTATTCCCAATATTTTGCCAAACTTAAACATAAGCTTGGCCTTTGAACTCAGCTTGGAAAGGTTTACTGCTTCATTTTTCTGCGCTCAGTGTAGTCTGATTTGAGTCAAGACAAGTACGATAAAGGTAAATATTCAATCAAACCTCTCTAATGATGACCAACAACAATTACTTTGAATATTGGTTCATAATTTCTTAGATTAGGTCTGATATACTTGAAATGATAAGATGTTCCATTTTAAATAATTTTGTATCATTTTATCATCGGTTAATACTTCATAATTAAATTTCCGTGATAGTTAACACAAGGGGAAACTTATAATTCGTGTATTAACCAAATATTAATGAAATTATTCAGACCGACATTAAAAAGTTCGATGAAATGTCATACACACTTAAACCACCACACTTATGTTCAGAAAATAATAAATGGTAACGTACATATACTTACTTCTACTCTTTTCTACTAGAACAGATGTAAGATTTGAGATATCTGAACTAAGCGAAACACTGTGAAGCCAAAGGTTGTATAAACTGGCTTCTTTTATGTCGAGCAAAGATAAAGAACTCAGTGAGACTCTATGAGAACTCCATGGAGACTTAAGGTTTTGCTTTTTGTAGAAGGCTGATAATCTTTTAAAAGATTTAAGGAATTTTCCTGTTGAGCGCCTGATCGATCTTAATTTAAGCTTGAGTCGGTTTTTAAGAACTTTCTGCAAAATAAAACATGTTTTTGAAATAGACAAGAATGAGTACGATAACTTTGTGAACTTATAGGTTAAAAGTACTGAATGGTAAACTGATCCAATTTATTGATAGGAAATTTATTTATAAAACACAAAAATTGGTGCGAAGTGGTACCGAAATGCATATACGCCACACAAATCATTGAATTTGTGTGAGGGCCTGGAAGTTACTCGAGTGCCTAAACCGAAGCAGGTAGGTTTCTTGAGAGGCAACCCCCTAAGTCTTCGATTTAGAGGTTAGTCCACTAGACAGTGGCGTTACATTAGATGTGGTTCCATAGTAGCTGGTGATTAGTTACGGGCCACTTATTCCCTCAAGATCATTGGTTTTTAATCAGGGTTTTCCAACTCCTCTGTTCCCAACAACCTGGCTTGAGATACGGTGAATTGAAAATTTTGTCTCCCTGTAAGGTTTACTTATTTTTTTAAATACACAATGTGAACAAATGTTCTCCTCCTTCAGATTTTGTGCATTTAATATGAAGTTACATTATATACCTTAGAACTCACAAGTATATAAAATTGAAAGGATATTAATGAGTTTTTGACGTCTCGTAAACTCCCTAAAGCTTCATATCTTAGTGACATCTGACACTATGTTACATCAGTAGATACCAACGTGTTAGGAGTGAAGTCTAAGTTTAAAGAAAAAAGAGCATACTGTAAAATTCGAGGATAGTTTGAGATCAGACAAACGCAGAAACAGATGGATATGTATTTTTACAATGCACTCAGGCTCGGTCTCTTAAATAGCATATTATATTACCAATGCCTCAAATAAATGAAAAAACTATGAAAACTATCTCATTTATCAATACTGAATTTACTTGCTTAGCAAATAAGTCAACGCTCACTTTATCCTGATGTTTGATAATACATAAACTCACGCCAGCAAATTATTAGGCCAAGTTTCCTGCCAAGTTACATGTATGTGGATACGTTACATACACACATAAACCTGCTTACGTAAAAAATATTTAACGGCGGTTCTAATGGATAAGGCAAAAGTTAAATTAACGAACAAAGTATTTTGGTGATTGGATGAATTTTACCATAATTCTGACAAGGAGTACAGCAACTGATTCAACTATTTCATACAAAAATAAATCAACTGATAACTACATTTGCAAACAAAAAAATCCCTCTCTGAAAAGTACATCAAACGGGCATTAATTTACTACTTACAAACTAAAAGTGAATTATAGTTAGCAAACCTGTCTGTAGAAAACTACACTCAAAAACTGACACTAAAATCTGAGTCCCCTACATTTTTAGTGCATTCCTTAATATATACGAAGTCAAAACGTGAATACTGACAAAATATCTAAATAACACTCAAAAATTGAAACGATGAAACAAGTTAACTCACTCTTAACAAACTTACATCATATATATTTTTGTAGGTAAATAGACGTTTTGAAGATGAACTGAAAGTTTGAGACACAGTAACCAAGGGTGACTGAGGAGTTTGATCTCTTGCTTTATTTACTATATACAGAAATTAAAAGATTAAAACGTAAATCAACCACATAAAATCAATTAATTCACCAAGTACTTGGGTATGAGCCACACTAAATGAAAGGGTTGACGATAATACCCGGTTTTCCAAGACGAAATAAGTGAAACGGGGTTCAAACCCGGGAAAACGTAAGTATATGATACGAAAACTAGTACCTAACTGCAAACGCAAGTATATAAAAAAACAGGTATAAATAAGAACAATTTTAGATTACACACATAGACCATATAAAATACCACTTTTTTAATACAATCCATGTATTAATGGAAGTACAGCCTTCAAGAGCAGAACAATAATATCTCAACAGTTGATAGACTTCCGACAAAAGTAAATCTGAAACCCGGTAATGTCATAAGGTAAACCATCTACAACACGATCAATACATAAAAACAAAGGTTTATGACGTAGATTGGAGATGCATTTAATATTTTGACAATAGAAATTGCCTGACAGCTTAAACGAACATCCCGCTGTATAAATGAGTCAAGCACCGGACCGAATGATAATCGATTATTAGTAGTCATATTAAGTGACAGCGAGGAATAAACACAACGGTAACCAAGTTGAAGAGACAATATATGGCGTAACTAATTTACCAAATAATAGGTCCGGGCAATTGTGAATTTTACTTATACTAACCGATCACTCAGACCAAAGGCGTGATGGGGCACGAACCCAAAACTCGTTGTATGAAAGTCGGGATCTGTAATCACTAAGTACTTGCTTTACTGTGGAGGTATATATATCTAGTTTGGGCGTATCAGTAAAAAATGTTCTCAACAATTCAAGTGTATTAGATCAATATAATTATTAATTTATTCATTTTTGTAGCATAAGCTCTGTGATATACAAAATCCAACTTCTTACAGATCTTACGGAAAAATACTTGTCAGTGGCTTAGATGTATATTTAGATGAGTAGTTAAGACCATCAGTCATATAGGTTATATGGAGCTAAGGAATAATAATTAAGAAAAGCCTTAGTAAACCCATTGGTAATGACGACAGTACTCGAAATTCCTTATTCGGCAGCCTATTTAATCATCATAAGAAAATCTTAATTTCTAGCTTTGTAGTGAGGAGTTCTCTGAAATGGAAAAGGTCCGAGTTAAACACGCAATCAAATTTGACAGCTACAAGGACCCTTCCAGTCTACCTTTTTTGTTTTTCTGCAATGTTTTTATTCTTACATGTAGTCCATCTACTGAATTCCTATTTTGTTAACCTTTAGTACTTAACAAAATTAATGTGGCAGAAACCAAAAGATTTCTTGAATACATCAGAAACATACTGCTTTTAGTCTGTAAAAATGGAGAGTAAGAGGAATGGTTGATTGTAGGCGGACAGAAAAATCATGGCATGAACTCACAGGCATTGTAACGGTAGTAATCTGGTCCGCTGAGAGTTGGGCGGCAAGTGATGTCGTGCGGCTTGATCGAAAACCTGGCAGCGAAATGTGAATTTCCACACAAACTTGGGGTTGATATTTTTAACAGATACGAACATGATTCAGGCTCTTCAACAGATATTATATGAAACGTTTGTGAATTTTCACAGACAAACTGTACTTCTGTTTTCCGAGGCATATTCGTCAAGTCACAAATACTTCCGTTGGAATAAAACTGACTGTGGTATTTGGGTTTCTGAATGGTCCATAAGGAAATATGTGAAACAGGAGTAATACCTCTGAAGAATTATCCCAGTTGAATTCCGACTCGAAAAGTCCGAGAAGAGTTTCCGATGTTTCCCTAGATTCATCATGATACTGAATAACATGCTTTCGGAAACAAAATTCATAGGTCCACCAACCTCCTTTCTAGGCACAATGTAAACTACATATATAGCACTAACCATTGTGAGGCAATCAAAGGCATTAAACATGGTCAGTAATGAATGCACAACTCTGCTAGACAACTGCAAAGTGGCGTTTTCGGGTGAGACATAACCGTCAGTATCCCATGAGCAGGAGAACTTTTGACCTGATTTTGAGAATACACTAACAACTGAACTATCCAACTGAACAGATAAAGGGTAACCCAAGAGATATTACCTTGTCCAAAACCGCATGTTCTTCGATCTGAAGGTTGTATTTGGGATTTTCTTCAGACAGTAATGGAGAAACAGAAGTTGCAGAACAAAGTAAATAAAAAGCTAGTAAATAAGTACACATGAGTCTGAGTAACACAATAACATGTAGTGGTTGGTGTCTGGCCGAAAGGTATTTTGTGTGACACGACAAAAACCTGAACCCTTCGAAGTAGCCCGCTCCTCCGTTAGGCGACCTTGTAGGCCTTGATTTGGAGCGGGTTGCTGTAGATTGGTTTGATTTCCACGAACGGAATGGTTTTTAGGTATTCTTACAGTTAGACATCCTTTCCTTGCTCTAAAATCACAAAATCTTTCCAAACAACATAAACTGACCTTCCTCTCCAACAAGTGCACTAACAAATATACCTACTGAAATGATGAGAGAAATAAGATTATTTCAAACTGCATAATTTCAAATTAACGGTACTGAAAACAAATGAGTTTTACTATTTATTTCTGTTCTCAACACTCGTCGACAAATTTTAGAAGTAAATTATTGAACAAAACAAGATTTGGGATTATTATGATTCACATTTGTGTATTGATGGCGAAAGGCTGACAACCTGAGTCGATCTTTTCATACTAGGATTTTTTCGTTTTCGGATAGCGATTTCATCTTCCATTTCCTCTGGATATACTCTGCCGATAAGAAAAAATTGAAGATATAAAAACTCCTGGTGTTCTTTACATCGAAGTTAAAGCACTTCTCACGCTGCGGTAAGACAGATCGGACTTCTAGGGCAATATCGAGAAAATGAATGATGGAGTAAAATCCTCATTCCTTACAGGATGCTCGCGTCACTTCATAAAGAGTCGCTTTCAGGTTCAATCCAGTCTTTGAGTTTGGTTCTCACTAACGTAGTACTTTTTGTCGTGATAATATTTGCTTCCAACTCAGAAAATCTCAGAATTCATGTTCATGGGAGTATGAAACCGTTAACTTCAACTCCGTGGCAGTAAACCGTGGTCTTAAGATGGTCACCCACTAAGGTCACCATGAGACAGAGCTAAAGGGCTCCCTGATTCTGTAGTTAATCATATTCCGTCGTCCATTGTGCATGCAGACACGTTCGACCATGTTGAGAGACGTTAACCTAAATATTTAACTCCACCTGCAATGACAATAATGGGTAGCTCTAATTGTTTCAAGCCACATTTTAATTTCATCAGTAAGAAGTTGGTACGGGGGCTTAGTCGTGCACAGGAGTTCAGTCACATGATGTACAAAAAGAAAAGTACTTAATATGGTGCCTTAAGGTACCCCAATAAGAGCTGGTTTCGATACGGAACGTAAGGAATTCATTCCTACTTATATCGATGATCTGCCAAGAATTCCTTGGCTAACTTTTGTAGCGGTCGAGCATTTCGCAGATTTTATAGCCCCGTTGGGAACAGATTATGTGGCACCTTGTCAAATATATTTATGCAAATTATCCATCATCAAAGTCTTCATTGATCTCTCTCTGTTAGGAGTTCAGTCGTACATAGTGCTTCATTTCTGAAACCATCTTTTTCTCTATTCGACAAGCTGTTGGTTTATACCCAGATCATAATGGTCCTTGTAATCAGCCTTCCGAACGTTTTGACTGAGACAGTGATGGGGCTGACAGGTTTGTAGTTTGACAGAGGCTGCATTGATCATGTTCCATGTCCTTGATGCACTGTTTAAGTTAAATTTAATAATGAGTAGCCTATCCATTTCTCAACACGCTGTTCGCATTTGTAGTGGAACACTTCCACAAAAGAAACGCAAATGATGAAAACAAAAACATTTATTATGTACTCGTTTTGTTTAACTGTACTAAAAAACACTTACTTGTGCGCTACTTTCTTTTACGCGTTGCTGTTATTTTTCATAACTAGCTGTTACATGTAACGCTTACTTTCTCTTTCAAATGTATTCTTTACCCCGGATTTATTTCTGATTTGTTGACGGGATAGTAATGAATATTTAGCGGTGATCATAGTCAATCTGGACTCGGTCACCATTAAGCATTGATTGCAATTTGTTAAAAAAAACTGTTGGTTAAGTAGCAGTATTCATTGTCATAATCAACTGAACCAGTGAATCTTTTGTCGTACTTTTGTTTTATTAATAACAAATTATTCTCAAATAACAACATGTTACAAGAGGCATGCAGATTTACAGGCAAGATCAAAATGTTAAAATTGCGGACATATTTTCTGTAAAAGGTTTTTCAGTTACGCAAATATTCCACAAGATATATCGACTACTTATAGGTGGCTAAAATTTTACATGCTAAATTATAGGTAATTGTTCATACTCTGGAATGTTCAATACCACGGTCGCATTGCGACGAATCACCACCGGTTGACAACCAATGCAAGGTGAATCCAAGTCTGTATGTAACAAGAAGTACTAAGGTGAATTTGTAGTAAGCTTCCTCTTGAGATTCGCCAGTTGATAATTTGACAGGCCCCTGAATAAAGCAACCAGGTCTTCGGTAACATCAGGGCTAATATTTAAAGATTGGAATAAGGTTCTGAAAACGAGAAATAAAGAGAAAATGGTGAGGAGCAGAACGGAAAATATTTTTGTTTAAAGCTGAAGACTGACTCCGCAGATAATATTTTTGGATAAAACAAAGGTATAATTAAACACATCTTTTTTCTTCTGTATCAGAACACTAACTATACACCTGCACTTTGTAGATTGATGGACACAAGTGACTAGTAAGATGACAAGCGGAAGAATAATCTTGAGAATAGAAGAAATTAAAATGATTAAACTGTTAGAAGTAACTTTGATTTACAGAGTATTAATGGAATCACGCTTCAGTTTTGTTTTTAATGTGAACTTAAGTAAAGTAGAAAAAAGAAGAGGAAGAAAAACAACTTGATGGTATCGTTCATTAACGGATACCTTTATCTTGTCGAAAAGTTATTCACTTTTACTTGAACAATTTGTAGCGAGTGAGTCAAGATACCAGATTGACTGTGTTCACCACTAAATGTTCCATACGGTTGCGTCACGAATATCAAAACAAATCCATGATCCAAGGTTTTATTGAAGGAGACAGTAGGCATTATATCGGGAACAGCAAATGAAGAAAAATGGCAGCAACGCGAAGAGAGAGTTGCGCGCAAGAAGTAGAAGTGTTTTTGGCACAGTTAAACAAAACGAGTACAATAATGTTTATTTTTCACAAATCGTATTTTCTTCGTAGAAGCGTTCTACTGCAAATCTTTCATGTCACATTCTCAATACGGGTAAAGTTACATCATATTGGTGTTAGTAGTCCGTACTATTTAAGTTAATAACCTTAACTCGATACTGATGAACCACATGCGAAGTAGAATACCAGAGTTTATTTTACAGCCCTTCAACATAGTTTCATGTTATGCGAATTGCCTGAATTAACTAAAAGAAGAAGATATTAATGGTTTCATGAGTGAAAATATAAGTTGTCTTCACGTTAGTCAACGAATTGGGATAAAGCTCGGGACTCGAACTCAAATGGTTTATAAACGTTTTCACAGTACTTCGACTCAAACATCTATATGTTAATGGGTAGATATCATCCTCAAATAACGAACATGTTACAAGAGGCATGCCAATTTACAAGCAAGATCAAAATTTTAAGTTCGACAACTGACTCTTACACTTAATTTAACTGCTATAACTTTTAAAGTAATTGTGAAAGCATTTGTGACAGTTTGATCTAGCCTGTAAACTGGCGTCGCTCTTATAACGTAGTTATTTGAGAATAAATATATTATTATTATTTCTTTTAAAGCGGTGTATAGTCACTGAAATATTTCATAAGGTACACTGGCTCCATTGAGATGGTCTACATCCTTAAGTAATAAGCCATGACTTTGACTTTATCCCAGACTTCCTCGAACATCCCACATTTCCAACCCCAAATAAGCCGAAAATCCACAAGTTAGCTCCTGTCCTATAACGTTTGCATGAAATTGGTCACCTGTTACAATTCGGACTGATTTTCATACATCCACTGTGTATCATAGATTGTGTTTATATGCTTGTTTTAGATTGACCCGTACTATTCCATCGAATTCGCTACGCCACGTCTGGTGGCGACTTTGCAGCACTCGGTAACCGTCTCATGTCCCATTTATATACACCAGCTGTTCTTTCTTCCTCGGGAATATCGAAGGGTATAGGCGGCTTATTACCTTGGTGACCACGCGCTGTTTACCCTGAATTATTCGAGCCAGTTTTTCAGTCTTCAGTCATAGCTACGGAGCTGATAACCTCTCTGTCTGTCTTCAGTATGCTGAGACATGACGGTACATCTACTTGAAAGACCGTGGCAGCAGAGTCTGAGTGAGTTAATTGCATGTTTCCTTATCCCTTAAGTCTGAGGACAATTATTTCCTTTTAAGTGATCCCTATGAGTGAAAACGAAGTTCACAATACAAGAGGAGTGCTGTAGTTCAGAAAGACAGATATCTAATTTGCTGTACTTGTGCTAGGTGGATTAAAGTTTTTAGCGGTCTGAAACCAAACGACTTTACCAATGATTCTGTCTTGAAGCATACCCAGTTTTTTGAAAGTCTATTATAGACACACTCTATAAAATTTCTGCACTTACATGAATGGAACGGAGGTTTACTTGGGTGAAAATTATCCACAACATACTCAGGAATAAGATAAACGGTTGATGAACGATCTATCCTAACGGAATCCAGAGTGCCGATATCGAAGTTATGCGTCTACGGAGAGAGATACCTCTGCGTTTCTCGTACTGGCTGAGATATCCTTTCTCTAGTATCTTGATGAGGTTTACTTCTATCCAATCTGTCGGTACTGGTTCTTCATCCCAAATCTCGCTGAACAGAGCGTGCAACATCTTTGCAGCTGCTGCCATGTTTCTTTTCAATGCTGTTTAGTGCTACTGCTTCGACTCTTTTGACTCGTCTGATGGCCATGCTGACTTATTCAATTGTTGGTTGGCCAACATTCTTTAGGAGGTCCGTGGATGCTGCTTCGATGATGGGTGGGTTCAGTGAGGTCGGTCTACTCAAGAGTTCCTCGAAATGCTCTACTCACCCGTTTCGCTGTTCTTCAAAGTCGCTGACTACTTTGCCTTCGGTGTTCTTGACTGGTCATTCTGGTTTACTGTATTTTCCAGTGAGCTTCATCGTTGTATTGCATAGTCATCCGATGTTTCGTTATCATGAGGTTTTTTCTGATATCATTGCTAGATCTACTACATACTTCCG